CAACCGCACAGTAGCTCTCCTCTCTCCCTCCCACCTCTCTCTTTAGACACGCACTAGCAAGCGAGCCACAGCACTGCCTCAGCCTCCACTAGGTACCGTCGAGCCGCCGGGGGTGCCAGGCGTGCCCTCACCCGGCCGAGCAGCTGCCACCAAAGGGCACTCCCCGCTAGCAAACAGCTTCCACCACCAGACCTAGAGGCAGAAGCCCCGCCCGGAAGCCGCGGCTCCTCCCCACCCCGCAGCCTCTCCTCTCAAGCGGAGGGAGCTGTGGCCAAGCACCGCGCACCACCCTCCTCCCAGAGCGGGCTCCTCCGGGCGCCGCAGCGAGGCGGGGGAGGAGCCGGGAGCAGCAGCGCCACCTGGGACCGGGCCTCCCACGGATACCGACTCCCCCCCCCATCGCCAAACACCTCCTATCCCCCAGGGATATCAGACCCCCCTCCGGGAGCTCTTACCTTCCACGACGCCGCAGAGAAAGCGGCGGGAGCCTAGCGCCGTCTCCGTCTCGGTGTCAGTCTCTTCACCCCCCGTCACCGGGCCTGTGGGGGCGCCCGGCGGCTCTAAGGGAGCGCCGGGCACGCCAGCTGGGTTGGGGCTGCCTTGGGGCTCCTCCAGCGCCGCCTGCCCCTCCTTCTGCACCATCCTGCCGCCCGCCGCCAGGACCCCCACTCGCTGGGCCGGGCCGAGCCGAGCCACCCCAATCCTTTTCTTTCCCCTCTCCACAACCCCTTTGTCTCCGCTGCTACGGGCCGCCGCAGCTTCCTGTTTACGGAGCCCTGCGCCTGCGCAGGGAACCGGCCGCAACCGGTCCACACCGCCCTGCCCACAGCCCCCTCGCTGCGAATTGCGCAGAGGGACCGCCGCAGGGACCGGGGGAGCTTGTACCAACCGCAGGCAGGGACGACACGGGCCACAGCAGCCTAGCGGAGCCCCTCTGCCACCAGCCGCGCTGACGGCTCCTCTCCGCTGGAGCGGGAACAACAGACTGAGGAGGGAGTTACCTCAGCAATCGGGTGGGCGGGGATGACGGGAGGCGATGCTCACGGCGCATGCGCTGAGCGCGGAGGAAGCACACTGCGCCTGCTCGGGAGCCCAGCAGCGGGAGGGGCGAGGCTGCGGCTGCCCAGAGCGCCTGCGCAAGGAGCTAGCGCTTTCCCACGGCGCATGCGCGAGGGGATGGGGCCCCGGGCACGGCGGGGAGGCTGCAGTAGGAGAAGGCGCAGGTGGGAGGTGTGCGCATGCGCTGTGGGGTTTGTGTAGGGAAGCGGCGCCGGTGGGGGGAGGCTGGTGGGATGTGAAGTGTTTACTTCGGCGCTGCGCATGCGCTCTTGCGCAGGTTCTCTTGAGGGACCCACTTGTGGCGGCATCCCATAAGCTACGCGGGGTTCGGGGTGGACAGGATGCTGAGTTGTGGGGCTGTAAAGGGAAAAGCCTTTAAAGCTGTTCTTCCGCTGCTCTTAGTACAGCCCGGGTGGATGTTACTTTTACCGGTGTTCGCATGCCTAGAAGGAGCTGTGAGGATGGGCTTTGAAGCTGGGAGCAGCTCAGTAATTCAGAGCCGGGGCCTGAGGGGACATGTTTTCAGGGAGAAGCTCCAGCTGTGTGGAAGCGTGGGGGACTGGGACCCAGAGCATGACTCAAGAGAACACAGGGCTGAAAAGACCACATCCCCTGAGGCTGCATAGGGAAATCAGCAGGGTAGCCCTTTAGGCCCACCTAGCATTGGGGAGGCCACAGCAGGTACCAGCAACGAGAAACCAGTGAGCAAAAAGCTGCTGGGAACCTCAGTTGTGAGGAGGGGCTGGAGGAAGGCTGCAGACAGCACAGCAGCCATGTCATGTTTTAGAACAGAATGAATGAAACTGAATTAAAAATACCCCTGCTCCTGATTTGGACACTGTTCACCGTTACCCAGCCCACTCAGCTCTCCTCAAACCTCCCTCTTGTAGGTTTGAAGGCTGTTTCTTGCTCTTCGAGCTTATTTTCACTGATGACACTTTGGCATGATGAGAAACCCAAGATGGCTGCGTTTCTGTCTCTGCCTGTGTCTGTGCTCAGGAAGCTGCAGCAAAGAGCCTGGCCAAGGAGTGTCTCTAATTGCCATCGTGTCCAATCGAAAGCTTTCAAAGAGCAAAAATAGCAATTGTACTGCTACCCTAAGTAGTACCTACCTTGTGTTGCCATGCAACAAGGCTTTATAGAAAGGGTAGAGAGTAGAAAGGCATAGAATTTGCGTGGGAAGCACACAGTACTCTCAATGCCACCATACGCAGAGCTGGGCAGTTGGCTGCTAGGTCAGAAGGGACCCTGAAGCAGGCAACAGGCACACAGCTTTGATAGTGCCAAAATGATGGTGCAGTAACGGTTCTCCCAGTGTTGGGATCTCATCCTTTTCCAAGATGTTTGTGTTTCTAGGCAGTATTCAGGATACTGGAGTGAATCACTGCCCTAGGCTGCATCAGCTGCCTTATCCAGTTACTAAGCTGTTTTCCCACATAACTGGTCTTTTTCCCTCTGAAAGCAGAGGATGGGATATACTAGGAATAGTGGGTTACAGGGGAAAACAGACTTGGGTCCATTCCTCCTGAGACCTGTGCGACAGCTAGCAGGTCAGAAAGATCCCTGGGGAGTCAGAGGCTTTGGAAAGAGCAGACTCACAGCTTTCCCAATCACACAGTGGTAATTCTCCCCATAGCCAGGGCTCACCCTTTAAAAATGCTTGGGACTCCAGGCAGCTCTTCTCATTGAGCCTTCAGTTCCTGCACCACAGACTGCATAATGCTGGAGGGTGTCACTGTCCCCCATCAGGTCCATTGCCCTGTTGTTCTGCTGTTTTCTTACTTACCTGCTGCTTTTTTTCTCTTTGTTTTGCTTCAGTCCATTTTCCCAGTTTCCAAGGCTACACTTTTCCAAGGACCAGCGATCATCCATCAGTTCACATCCCTAAAAGAAACCTGTGTCCAGTCCATTTTCCCAGTTTCCAAGGCTACACTTTTCCAAGGACCAGCGATCATCCATCAGTTCACATCCCTAAAAGAAGCCCATGTCCAGTCCATACTTACCTATTCAACATGGCAGCTGACCATCTTCTTGTTAGCTCAGGCTTAAATGCCACATTCTGACAAGGGCCACCTGGTTCCAGGCTCAAGTTAACCCAGCAGCATCTTATGACAAGCTGCAAAACCACCTGACAGCTCCAGCTCACAGCCTTTTAGCATGTGCAATACTGTACTTACAGGGCCAGCAATGGCATGGCCAGGCTGTTTGAAACCCTGTCCCCAGTGAATGTCCCAGAGCACAGCACCCTAAAAAGGCTGCTAACCCTCTGCAGAGACACTCAGCCTCTATTTCCCCCACTATCCCAGGGAGCTGACAGATGCAAAGACATAACAGTGGTGTGCATAGCGATTGTGGTTAGATTTTATTGGTTTTTTGTTTGTTTTTATTATTTTTTTAACCATATTATTGTTATAATACAAAATATACAGACTGGAGATGCCAAGCGGGTTGTGGGTCACCATGTCCCGGGGCACGGGGGTCACGCCATGCGACCTGCAGCGTGAGGGGGGTGGCGGCATCTGCTCCATGTGGCAAGGGATGGTGGGTACCCCAGAGAGGGAGGACAGGGAAACGGAGCTGTGAGGGGTAAGGGTTGGGATACCTGCCCTCCCATCCCTGGGAGACTGCACATGGGAACTCAGCTCCATGGCAAACCCAGGAATGGGGCTGTGAGATGAGCAATGTGTTGAATGAACCTAAAAAACACATCATGTCTGCAAGGGCTGGGCCAGGGGCAGTCCTGCTGGGGAGCAGCCCCATAGCTTTGGCTCAGGGCCCTTAGATTAGGGTTTCTAATAGCTCCAACACCAGGGACTCAGCCTGGGTCTAAGGCCCAGCCCAGCATGGGTATTGGTTTTGCTCAGCCCTTCCCTTTAATCTCAAACATCACAGCTGGGGCCAGCCCTGATTGCTTTTGGCTGCTAAGGAGGGAGAGGCTGGAGCAGCAGAGCCAGGGACTGATAAGTTTGGGTATGTTCCCAGTGCCTGTGGGATTGCACAGAGGGGCTTTTGGGGTTGGCATGGGTTCATTATCCCACGGGCATCACTGTCCTAGCTACAGCTGAGGCCTGCCTGCACAGACCCAGCTCTGAGGAGCTGGTGGTGCCAAAAGCATAAGGAGCCCCAGGGTGCTGTATCCATCTGTGAGGTCCACAGGCAGGGTTTCATGTGGCCACACCAGGAGAAGGGGATGAGCCTGCCCTGCCTAAAGGTGACTCTCCATCCTTCTGAAAGCACAGCAATGACTCCTAGCCAGTCCCAGCTTTGACTTCTTCCCCAAGGAGCTGCCAGCTCAGCCATGTCACCAGCACAGGGCTATGCCTGTGGGAACACCTCTGCCCCATTGCTACCCAGTACCCTGGGTAGGCTGGGGTGAGCAGGACATGGGAGCAGGGGAAGGTCAGCAGCAAATGGTGCTGGGAGCATGGCTGTGAGGCCCAAGAGGCAGGCTGGCTGATGGAGGCCAGCACATCTCCCTCCTCCATGTGTCCCCATACCGTGGCTGCTGTGTCCTGGGGAGGGGTGGAAAGGGTGTCTCTCCATTGGAGCCTCAAAGTGGATCCCTGATGTTCCCTGTGTGCCAGCACCCCAACCTCGAGGGATAGGAGCTAAGGTTGCAGCTCTCCCAGCCCTGCATCCTCCATCCTGGGAGACCAGTGCCACAAGAGAGCACCTTGAGGTCCCTTTAGTCTCTCTTCATTCCACATCAAGATGAGCCTCCTAGGACTAACTGGGCCTCCTGGAGTGAGGGGCTGCTCCCCAAAACTCATGCAGCAATGAACCCCGAGTGCCTGTGCAGCTGCCTCCTCCAGGCATGGCCCCTTTGCCCATGAGGGTGGCCAGCAGCTCCTGGTGGACATGCTGGACACGCTTCCTGTGGCAGGGCACAGCCAGGACATGGGAGGAAGATGAGGCGCTGGCACCCAATGCAAGACCTCTGGAGGGTTGGGGCTGAGCCAGTGCTGGGGGCTCCCAGGGCTGAGGGGGGTCAGGGCTGGGGTGCTGTGGCTGCACGGGGAGCTGTGCATGGGGGGAAATCTCTATCACAGCCAAAGGCTGCGGTTTCCCTGCTGGGAGCGGGTGCAGGGAGCTCCATCCAGGCCAAATGCTCGCCCCGTGTCATCCATGCCCGTGCTCCAATGTCCAGAAGCACCTGCTTGGGATCCCCCAAGGAAAGCGGAGCCAGCCCAGGGGGAAGGGAGCATCCCAGCGCCAACCGTGTCTCTGGGAAGGGAGGCCCATTGTCATGGAGGTGTCTGTGCAGCCGGTGGAGACGAGGCTTGAAGGAAAAGTCAAGAGAGAAGCAGATTCTGGGCCCCGTGGCAGGAGAGCTCAGCTGGAGGCAGGTCCGGGAGCTAAATCACGCTGTCAAAGAGCTGCATGGACCGCATGATGTTCTCATCCTGCAGGGAGGATGCAGAAAACAGGTGGAACAGCAATCCGGGCAGCTTCCCTCAAGCCTGGCTTTAACCTCATGGCAGCTCTGACCCACAGGACAAGAGCCTCAGGGATTACAGGCAGTTTCCAAGCCCCACTCTCCTCATCAACACAGAGATGCAGGCACAGATACAGTTCCCAAAGCAGAGCCCCAGCCTTGCCCCTGGAAGCCCTGCCTTCATTCTGCTCTGACAGGAGGGCAATGGAGGGAACAGAGGTCCCCAGGGGACAGTGAGGTGGCCCAGCCCCAGAGCAGAGCTGCAGGTGGCTTTACCTTCTGGCAGGACTCCAGGAACTCCTCGATTGTCACCACACCATCCTTGTTTCGGTCCATTTTCTGCGAACAAGCACAGCAGGGGGGACATGGCAGGGACAGTCCCAAGAAGAGCGAAGCATCCCCTGCTCGAGTCCCACATCCCACTACCCCAGCCATCCCCAAGCAACTGGCAGGACCAGAAAATCCCTTTCCTGTTCCTGGATCCAGCCCAGTCCTGCTTCATCCTCACTTTGGGGTGTGTTCTCCTGCACCATGTCAAGTTTTGGGCAGCTGCTGGCTCTCTCTGGAATTCTGCCTCCCCAGGATGTGCTCGGCTCACCTGGAAGAAGTTCTCCACGTGCTCCCGGGGTGCTTCTTCCCGCATGGCTGGGTAGGTGTATTTGCCCATCATGTCATAGATGGACTTCATGATGTCCAGCATTTCCTGGAGGGATGGGGAGCAAGGTTGCAAGGTCAGCATGGGGCTCTGCCTCCACCTGGTGCCCAATCCACACCTTTTTCATGATGCTCTCAAAGGACCTGTGGGGTGCTTAGGAGTGTTACTGCCAGCTCTGTGCACAGTGTGGGGCCATGTGTATACCTGCATGTGTGATGGAGGAAGTAGCACACCCCTCATCCATCCTCCACCCCAGAGACACCAGTGTCAGGGGGCCAGGAGGGACCTGTCTGCAAAGCTGAGCTCAGTAAATATTGACACCCCCCAGATCTCCTCCAAAGCTCAGCTAATGCCCATGAGTCCTGCCCTCATCCTTCCAGGGACAGATTTTTCCTGGCCTCAGGGACCATCCTGGACCCCTAATCCTACCTCTTTGGTGATGCAGCCGTCTTTGTTCAGGTCGTAGAGGTTGAAAGCCCAGTTCAGGCGGTCATCAATGGTGCCCCGTAGGATGGTGGACAGCCCAGACACAAAGTCCTGCAAGGATGGACAAGGCAGACACCTGCAGTTGCATCCACCAAGTGTCTCATGGACACAGGGCACAGCCCTGCTTGTCCCTCCTGCAGAGGAACTCAGCCCCTAAAGCAAGTGTGCCCTGGGGCTGGGCTGGAAAGGGAAATACTGAGTATCCAAAAGAGCCTGTGGAAAACTGAATATGTCCCCAAATGTGTCCCACATTTGGGCCCCAGCACCCAAGAAAAGAATGTGCATTAGGACCTGATGTTCAGCCAAAGCCTGAACAAGACCCAGCCATGGCTGTGCCTGCCACCCTGGGTACCTGCAAGACAGGAAATAGAGAAAGGCTGCTTTTTTATTGCTTTTCACTGCTTCCCCACTGCCTCTGGGAATTTAATAAACTCCACCAGCCCCTGCAAAGCTCTTCATCCATCTCCAACAGCAACACTGCACAGCCCTGCCCATGGTACCTGAAGGGACATGCCCTCCCTGCCCCGCTGCCGTCTCCTCCTTGGTCACAGCTCACCTCAAAGCTGACGGAGCCGTCATGGTCGGTGTCGAAGGCATTGAAGAGGAAGGTGGCGTACGTGCTGGAGTCTGAGGGAAGGTAAACAGTGTGAGGGAGTGCCATGTAAACCCTCGCTCTGTGGAGGCACCCATGCAGGGCATGGCAATGGGGACAGGGATGGGCACTCACCTCCCTGCGGGAAGAACTGTGAGTAGATCTGCTTGAAGTTTTCTTCATTGACAATGCCACTTGGGCACTCCTGCCAGGGCAAGCCACAGCATCACCTCCATGTTACAGAGAGGGGCTGAATTGAATCCCCTTGAATCCCTGCATCTTCCCTGCCATGCCTCACAGCTCTGCACTGCTTGGTGAGGCGGATCTAAGGCAGCTTGAAGCATCTCCCTAATTTTGTGTGCTGCACCCCTCACTGGAGGGGCTCTGCATTCCAGACACCCAAGGGATGGAGCACAGGATCAGGCCTCCCAGCTGAGCTCCCTCCCATAGCCTGATAAGCTTCAATCCCAAGGTCCAAAAAGCCTTTGCAAACCCTGGGCACCACTGGGTGCAAAGCACCCTCCAAGGTGGGCATGGCAGTAGAAGCAGGGCTAACAAAGCTGGTCAAGGAGTACTCACGTTCTTGAAGCCTCGGTACAGGACCTGCAGCTCTTTGCGGGTGAACTTGGTCTGCTCCTGGAGCTGCTCCAGCCCCTCAGGGCGGTGGCAGACGGTGGAGAGCTCAAACTCATCCTCAACGCTGTCTGCAAGGAACCCAAGGGAAAAAGAGGGCGGCTGAGGCCAGCACCATCCTGCCCTGCCCTGCTGTGCTGGGAACAGGAGAGGCACCTTGCACAGCACACCCCATCCTCTCACCTACCCAGGGTGACATGCTTTTGGAGTGTTTCTGGAGCAGGAGCTGGTCTGTGCCAGCAGGGAACACTCAGAGACACCTTTGGAACAGACTTGTTGCCCAAGGACACCCTTGGGCAAAAGCCCTTCAGCCTCTGATACAAAAGGTGAGTGTGAAACCCCCCAGTGCTGAGAACCCCCTTGCTCTTCTCTTCCACCCCAGCACAGACATCTGCCCTGTGCAGCTGAGACCATGGATGACTTGCAGGTCTGTGCTGCACTTGGACTTGCGTCCAGCAGAACTGCCCCCCAGACCCAAGTCCCCCCCAGCCTTGTCTGTACCCATCCTGCCCACTGTACCTCCCCTTCACTGATGGCCTCTGCCCTCCACCTGGCAATCTGCACAACCCCTGCCTGCAGCAACCAACACCCCCTGGCCCCCTGCAACCAAGAGGGACTGTGATCCCACAGCAGGTACCCCCCATCCATGAGGTGGATCATCTCCTGCCCCTTCATACTCACCTCTTCTCCCAAGGGGGGATCAGCTCACACCATGGGGCATGGGGTGACCCTGGCCGGGGGCTCAGACTCACCTCAGGGTCAAGCACACGCAGTGCAGAGTGGGTAGAGGGCTCTGGGCAGCTCTGTGCTCACTCCCTTCTCAGCCCCTTTTGCCCGCCTCCATCACATCTCCATCTCCAAACCAACCATGAGCAACAACCTCCCAGCTCTTAAAACAGTGCCAGGAGGGTCCCACTTCCCCAAGTCAGCTCCAAAGCAGGTCTCGCCACCATGCGTCCTGTGGGAGCCACTCTGGGGAGCTGGACAGGGGGAAAACCAGCCTGGAAGCAGGTGAGGACAGAGGTGGTTGCAGAGCCCAAAGGTTCGGACCCTTCCAAGGCAGGACTGATCCTGACAGCCCCAAACCCAGAGCAGGGGAGTGGTGGAGGTGCCCCCTTCCCTCGGGCAGGGCCAGGGCGAAGGGCAGGCAGCAGCGCCGCTGGGGACACACACACACAAAGGCAAGAAGAAGCACTTGCTTTCGCTGAGCGAGGGGATGGATTTGGGCCGGCAGCAGGGCAGCAGTTTGAGGAATCGCTGCTTCAGCGCTTTTTTAGTTTGGCCCGGCGGGTTGCCTGGAAGAAAGAAGGAGTCACCAAGCAGAAGAGTTAACAGAGCAACGGCCCCGGCCCCAGCGGCTGCAGGGTGGGCACCCGGCGCAGGAGAGCAGGGCAGGGGCAGCACATGCAGCGTGAAGCCAGAGGAGTAGGAAAGCAAAGCCCAGCCCAGGCTCTGCTTGGCCTTTCAGCTTCATCCCAGGACAAACCCGGCACTGGAGTTTCCCTCCTTGGGGAGCATGGGGATGGGAAAGGGGCAACCCTGCTGGGCTACCCACACCCAGCCCCTCTGCACCCCACCACTGGAGCATGCTGGGGTGCACTGGAGATACCCAGCAGCCGAGAGACCCAGGAAATGGCAGGGCTGGACTCTGCCCATTAGCCTCCAGGAAAAATACCTGCTCCCTCCCCTCCCCATGGAGCTGTGCAGAGAGACAGGGCAGGATGGAGCCCAAGAAACAGCCTGCAGCTGAGCCGGGGCATCGCATCCTCCCTAAAGCCTGGGCTGAGTTTGATCCTGCTGGCACCCGAAGGCTGAACACGAAGCATGCACCAAACCCAGCCATGCAGCCTGACATCAGCATGCACCCCCTCCCCAACACAGCACTGGGATCCGAGCCCAGGGACCTGCTTTGAGACAGCCAGAAGGGGAACAGGGCTCAGGACTTTGCCTCGGCCAGGCTATGGAGCAGGGTAAGGGGCTCCCCACGTTAGCCTGGCCCATGGCCATCACTTCCAAGTGTCTCTGCATTAACAGCAGGTCCCCTTACTGCACAGACCCCACCACCATCTCCTGTTCCCCCCTCTGGACCCCACTGGCTTTGCTCAGCCCTATCTCTCCCAGCTAGTGCTGCCCCACAGCCACAGACCCACTCCCTCCCTTCCCGCAGGGCCCCACAGTGCCGCAAGCCAGCCTCAGTGCAGGAGTAATGCCACAGGTGGGGAGGAGGAGAAGAGGAGGGGGATGAAGGCTGTGCTGGGCTCCAGACCCCAAAGGGAGGCAGACAGCAGCATAGGGCACCAATGGGACGAAAGGTGCAAAGTCCTTTTGGGGCTCTGCTGACATTGTGTTTGCTCCAAGCGCCCTGGACATCTGCAAGCAGCAGATGCCTTCATCCTGAATCCTGGTTTTGGGGTTGTTTCTCTAGGGGGGCTAGCAGATGGGGCTTTCTTAGCTTTGAGGGGCTGAGCTGAGGCCCAGGTGCTGGGGAAATGGTGCTGCATGGTACCCAGCTCCAGGATAGGGATGTGAATCTGCATCCAGCAGCCCCTGCTAGCAGGTTTGTCCTCAAGTGCCCAGAGACAGGACCTGGGACCCTTTGAGCCCACACCAAGGCAGCAGGCTGGGCAGTGGAGAACAGCTCCAGGAGGTCATTGTCCGAGCAGGACATCACATAAAGCCACTCAGAGAGGGCAAACTTGTCCCCAGGGAAGTGGTGTCCACAGGAGGGTGCTAGTGATGTGCAAACATGTAGGGATGCACAAATGCACCCCCTGGCGTTTGTCATTTGTCACAGGGTGACAGGGGCAAGGGTGGGGCCAGGATCTTGGTGCTGGCAGGACAGCACAGCCTGGCTCCTGTCTCTCTGGGATTTGCAGGCAGGTGAGGAAAAAGGCTTTTTCCTTTCCTAGAAGCAGGCATCAGTTGTGCCTAAAGCATGATTTGACCTAGCTACTTTTCTAGGGCTTTAATTCGCAGAGGGAAAGGGAAATTGCACCTTTCAGCCTTCCAAGGATGCTCTGGGTCCCTCTGGCAGAGCCGAGCTATGGGAACAGACCTGGGAGGAAGGAACAGCCCCTTCACCCAGGGGAAAGGGACAGAGTGAGCAGAGCAACACCCAGCGCCAGGGTGATGGACCAGGGGAGGGAGCAGGGTGGAGGGAAACCACACAGCGAGAGAGATGCAACAGAGAGTAAACTGTGGTTGGACTCACAGGGGCAGCAGGTATAGGCACGTGCAGTAGGTCAGGTCGGGTGCAAGTTACACTTTAGTTCGTTATAAAGGAAAAAAGAAAACATAAATAAAGAACATGGGCGTTTGCTTAAGGAGGAACCTGAAGAGGGCCTGATCACAGGGGCCCCAGGGCAGGGGAGGGAGCACGTTCAGCACATGCAGCTTAACAGCAGGAGAGGGGTGACCGGGGCTGGGGTTTTGCTGTCCTGGCTTTGGTGCGCCCCTGGCCCTTTCTGATCCCAGCATCCAAACCATGAGTGTGTCTGGAGGCTCCCTGGGCTCCCCCTTGCTGGGAAACAGCTCTGCCCAAAGCAGGAGCAGAGCCTGGATGTGTGCTTCGCTGCTCAGCACACTGGATGTCCACAGCACAAAGCCCTGTCCCTTCCAACAACAGCTCCTTTTCCAGCCATTGCTCTGCCCCTCTGCCTCTCTGCAAGAGCCATCAGGTGCCTGGCAGAAAGCAAGCCAGCAGAAAGGGCTGGCGGTGGTTTATCTGCAGTGGGAGGTCTGCTGGGTTAAGTGGCTTGTCATTTCCTATGCGTCACTCCACAGCCCAGCATCTTTGAAACACACACACACACAAACCAAGCCTCCATGTTTGGCCAGCACCAAAAGGAGAAGGGATGTGTCCCTGGGCGCTGGATCCAGCCAATGCTGGATCAGGGGGTTACACGATGCTGGGATGACATCCCCATTCCCAGGGAGGATGTAAACCTGAGCTGCTCCATGGTCTCCCCAGAGAGAAAGCAGGAGCCAGGGTCAGCCTGATACATAACTGTGTCCCTCCTTTCTCCACAGAGCCACAGCCACCAGCACCCTCACAGTAACAGCTGGCTGGGGAGACCAACCCACCCCTTCTAGCACCATCCTGCTAGAGAAGACCCTACAATAACAAACCAACAGTGCCAAAACTCCCCCACTCGCTCTCTCAGTAACTCCTCAATAAATGCATCCCCATGATGGGTGCAAGATGTGCATTCCACAGCAAGACCCCTCCTTAGTGTCCCCAACTGAATGGCTGTCCAGGGCACATTCCAGGATGGAATCTGCATCAGCAGCTTGGCTCCATGGGGCAACACTGGGTCAGGTGGAAGGGCAGGAGGAGTTGGTACCCCAGGGACAATCCACCAAGCACTCTGCCCTAGGAGCAGGGATGGGGTGGGATAATGCACTTGGCGAGGGGACCCTCTGTCTTTTCAGATAGATAGCATGGTTGGGAAGCATGAGGACAACCCCCAGCTAGGGCAGGGGGATGAGCCAGAAGAAGTGGCAGGGCAGGGCCAGGGGAGCATGGGGAAGGGATCGGCAGTTCCCAGAACATGCTCTTTTCAGTAGAGGAGCCTCCATCCACTTCCAGAGCATCCCCTTTTCCTGTGAGGCTAAAGCACATCACCGAGCTCCCCCTGGCAGGCCAAGGCTCTGGGTCCATCTGGGCAGCAATGCTGCCCCTAAAACCTGTGTCTCACAATCATCCCTGTGTAGGGCTTAGCTCTGAGCAGGGTCCACCAGCCCCCAGCTCTGCTCCCCCTCTGCAGTGCCCGGCCTCAGGCAGCATCACCCCCTGGTGAGGGGCCCACAGCTGACAGGGGCCTGCAGTGAAGGCTGCAATGGAGACAGGAGCTCCCCCAGCTGCCCTGGGGGGTCAGGATGGGTCCCGCCAGCAGCAGCTCTGCAGACGACCCTCATCAGTCAGTGGTGACAGAGCAGAGCATAACCAGGGCTAAGGTGCCTGCAGCAGCCGCAGGGGCCAGACAGTCATCCATTAGGGGAATGAAATCAGAGCTGGCATCTCCCAGGGCAGGGGACAGACAGTGAGTCCCTGTCCTGGGGATGGGACAGGGCAGCCTCAGCGCAGACACCCAGAGCCAGCAGGGCTGAAGGCGCTGGGAGCAGCAGAGCTGCTGAGTGAGACCTGCAGTTCATGGGGCAGCAGGGACCCAGGGAAAGGGTGTTCCACAGTGCCAGGGAGAGGAGAGGGGCTGCACAACCCTCGTGCTGAGCAGGAACCAAAGGGACAAGGAGGCATGGGCCAGGAGGGGCCAGCCATAGAGCAAAGCAGGGCTCACAGCAGTACTGTCCCCATTCCCATCCCTGTCCCCAGCCTGTGACAGTGCTCCCAGAGAGCCTGGCTGTGCCCAAAGGAGATGCTGGCAGAACAACCATTTCTCAGTACAAAATGTAAGGTGAAGGGGATGGGATACAGGTGCCAAGGGACAGTGGAACTCAGGGACTGTCCAAACGCAGCCAGTAAGCTTAGCACAGGGACACATCCTGCAGGGTCCCCATCACCACCTCTATGGCAGGGACACCTCTGGCAGCAGGAACTGGCACATCTAAGGTACCAGAGGAGGCACCTTAAATGCCCCAATATATACCAATACCCCAGAAGTGCCCCAGCAGAGCAGCAGCTCCTCTTGGCTGCAGGAAGTGTATCCTGTAAGAGAGCTGGCGCTCTGCATACCCATTATCCAGATGCCATCCATACCCTCGCCAACAACACATAGGGAAAAAGCCTGGAGATGCCTCATCCTGGCTAGATCCCAGGCAGCTCAGGGATATTCTCCATCACCAGGGGACTGAAAGCACCTCCTGGGCATAGCACCTTCATCTCCTCCCTTTGATCAGCTACTAACTGGTCCTTTGGATCCCTCCTATTGGCATGTCCTCCCATCACAGCTCCCATCCCAAGATCTGCCTGCCCCAGGGAACGTGATCTGCAGCCCCTTCATCTTGCGGCATCCCCAGCTGCCAGTGCCAACCAGATGGGATAGGGGCAAACAAACCCCAAATGATGCTCATGCAAAGTCATTTGGCAGCCTTTGTCTGAGCCAGGATGTCCGTGCCACAGCCAATGAAGGCTGTCAAGGGAGACAAGGCAGCAGCAGTGTGCAGCTGTCTGCGCTCACACCCTCACCAGACACAACCAACAGGTCGTGCATCACTCTGACATGTTTTGGGTCCTCTTGTCTGGCCACGATCAGCCCTGTCCTTAGCACCCACATGCCAATCCAGGGAGCTCAGCACCCACTGCAGCCCCTTCCCTTCACAACCCTGGCACAGCCCC